CGTATGTAGGGCCGAGATGATAACAGAAATGGATCCTAACTTATCCCCCGACAAATCAGGAAAACTCTGTTTTATAATTATTTCATTATTTACAAGAGACTGAATATACACGTATGTTACTTGTGTAGACTAAGTAATTAAATTGAAAAGTACAGTAGTGATTTTCAGAAAAGTTTAGTTGTTCTAAGAAATTCAAATTAATTCGATATTATCGAACGAAATATCGTTAACAGTGAGTCATTTTGTCATTTTATTAGTTACAATTAATACGAAAACGCTAATCATACAGCTACAAAGCTTTATACTGATATATGCACATGTAATAATGCGCGAAACGCCCTCTATGCTTTGGCACCACGTGACAGAAGTGACATCGCGTTCGCGACGACTACTGACACCACTGTGTCTTTTAGGATAGACACAGAAACCTGGATGACCCTAATTTCGTTTTTTTGCTCAAGTAATCGCCTGAATTCGATGGAAGCGACAACAGAGACAGCAAGGATTAAGGAAGTGCACCAAACGCAAATTCTAACAATAACAATTATCTGTTTAATTACCGTAAGCTATTTACCAATGGTACAAGAAAGGTTAATATTTCGTATTTTAAGCTTTGTTAGCGCTATTAACTATCCTCGTTCGTTCTAGTCTGGAGAGAAAAAAAATTTACATATTGGTTATACAGTATAGATACCAGGTAATACGTTGTGGATAAGCAGATTGATGGAGTTGAATTAGATGAAATTGTCCAGCTTTACATGAAAAAATGATGTTGTCGATTTTACAAGATTTTTCCTTAAAGTTTAAAATGCCAGTAAGTTTTGTTTATTTCCGTTCATTTGCTATTTTACTGCTGTACATGTTTTGACTTTAGATAAAACTAGTTTTAACTTTTAACATTAGTTAAAACTAATTTTAGCTACATAAATATGTTTGGGGGAAATAAAGTTATGTATAGTGATTTGGCGAAAGATGCCTAACATTTTGCTTATGAAGAAAATTACAGCGCTAGTTTGAGTTTAGGAGCCCTCTAATGAAAATATGATATTCTGGAGTATGTCTTTCAAATAAAAGTTTGGAGTTTATTTTAAAAAATTCTATACTGTGTTTGCAATGACGACTTTTTCACTGTCTGGCATTTTAAGCATCTCACCCCAAGTATCTGGGTGAGATGCCAAATGCCATTAGGGTAAGATAACAAATATAATTGCTTAAAATTAATTTTTGAATTTCTTAACCAAATTTAATTTATTGCATATGTAGTACAAAGTACTTCATAGTAAGTATAACAGCACAGTATAAGTATTGTTAAGTTTCCGCCCGTTCTAACGTGTTCTATAGCTAGCTGAAAGCTTTTTTCAGTCCAAAAACTTTTTTGAGAAGTCCTTATATAATTTCTATGCATATCCTGCAATAAAACGAGAAAACAAAAGTTTATTAAAAATAGGCATATTGGAAATCAATTAACAAAAAATAGGCACGTTACCCCAAGAAAAATGTGGCATATTTTCCATTTGTTGGGGTAAGATGCCTAGTAGAGTCACGTGCTCCAGCATGTCCGATCGGGATCGGCGGTAGCTGACAATGGAAACTTTAGAACCTTAACTACATCACACATTAATTGTTTTTAGCAATTTTTAATAAATTCCATTTTAACTTTTAGTTTAAAATTATTCTAGAAACATTTCACAACAAAAACTTCGTTCTTATCTAGCTTTTATTCTTCTCGGATGTAGAAAATGAAGTAACGGTAGCCAACTACAGCTTTCCGCACTCAATATTGGCCCAACGATTCATCATACAAATACATGACAATATGTGACGTCACCGTTTGAAAATATCAAAAATTAGGCATCTTCCCCCGCTTACCATCTTACCCCGAATCACTCTATGCGTTGCAGTCAAACCAGTTTTTAGTTAGGATGCGTTTTAACTAGTTAAAACTAGTTTATACTGGATGTCTTTGTTAAAACCCGTTTTGTCTAGTTAAAACTAGAATTTACTGCTAGTCAAAAATGAATTTGAGTTAAAACTAGTTTTAACTAGACAAAACGGGTTTTAACAAAGACATTCAGTATAAACTAGTTTTAACTAGACAAAACGGGTTTTAACAAAGACATTCAGTATAAACTAGTTTCAACTAGTTAAAACGCGTTCTAACTAAAAACGGGTTTTGAATGTAACATATATATATATAAATGGACGTGTGTGTCCCTATATTTCACTTTTCCGCAAAAACTACACATCGCACATGAATGCTGTTTGTATGTGGTGGTAGCCCCAAGTCTCCATTTGTGCACTATGGGGGTTGCGTCTCGATAGCTATAAGGATGCGGGAGATATGGGGGTTGAAAATGATTGACTTCAAAAATGTGTAACAAAGTGTCAACAGTGGAAGTGTTAACAATAGAAATGTTAAGTAACAAAGGAAGTGTTAACTTCTTCTCCAGCCAACAGTGACGTGCCACGAGTGCAGAGAAGGTAGACAAACATATGTCGATTCGAATTACAGAGGCTGGCAAGATGGCCAAGCAGCCAAGGTTGCAGCCTACGGCTCTGGGGACCCAGAATCGAATCCAGACGAGTCAAATAAACCCCAGGACTTTTTCGGGGGTGGTCCGTTCGTATATGTCAAGCCCCGTCCCTTACCACCCCGCTGCCAATTGTGGGCCTGGACGAACCCATAATGGGTTTCTTAGTGCCCACAGAGCGGAAAGAGTTAAAAAACGATTCGAATTACAGATAAGGCCATGTGAAAAGTAAGTTGATTTTCCATTACTACAAAAACGATGAACGTAACATCCTTTTTCGTAAACAATGTGTAAAAAAATAATGCGTTTTCTCATAATGATTAATTCGATAAATCCCGGATCACACATTTTTACTGTTATACTGTATGCATATACGAGTACAAGCTGTGTAGCTGTAGGAGTAGCGTTTTCGTATTAATTGAAACCAATAACATGACAAAATAACTCACTATTAGCATTGAACGATGATTCCTAATTATACACTATAATATCATCTCATAGGTAATTAATATACAGTCAAACTTCGGTTTTCAAACACAATTCTGTTTATAAAAGTAGTTCTAAAACCTAAACAATTTTTAACAAAAAACAATACAAAATGGATTAACAAATATCGTTGCATACCACATGAAACACGTGAAGTAAAGTAAACTGGTGTATACCAAAGGTAAGAAAATGTTCCATTGTTCGTTATTCATTGTTAAAAATCCTCAAAGTTCCACGTGTTTTTGCATTATATCTTTTAATGTGTCTAGCAGGAAATGGTTTCTAATAGTAATATCAGTTATCTCTTCTGACATTTTAACTATCTCTTCTCCACAACAAAGTAACCTGCCACACACAGTAAGAGAAGAGAAACAATCTAACCAGTGGAATAAACATGATACGCAGAAAAAACGAAAAATACAAGAAATGCTTCTGTGTCAGTTCCATTTCCTCTCTTGATTTCCGCAAAAACGAAATTTCGGGCACAACGATAAATATAATAAATATTATAAATAATGAAGATATGAAATTCATCGTATACGCTTCTATACGATTGATTATTTTCGATTCTCCTTGGTAAGTGCTGAACAGGGCAGGGCCGTGAAGCGAGAAGCGAGAGGACAATTAAAAGAAAAAAAGGCGCAGAACGACAGAAGACGAGTCCAGACGGGTCTTTTTCTCCTTTTTTTTTAAGACGAAGAGTTTCCGAAACGGTTCGAGTTTAATGTTTAGTATTATATGTCACCATTTGTAGTGTCTAGTGACGTAATTAAACGGTAGTATTGCATAAGACTAAGTAGTAAGAGTGAAGTTAATTAGGTTTAAGTAGGACAAGACGTAAAGAGAATTCCTACATTTTTTTATCTTTCTATTAAAGTAAATGATCTGTGATGCTGAATTAATTAAGCTGAATCGACCTTTTATCTAATTTCAATTGAATATTTTAATTTCAATCTTCTTATTATACTCTATGTGTTTTCATATCCTTTATAGAAATTCTTTTTACCAGAAACAACTTTTAATCGACAGTTGTAATGCGCAGATTAATTTTCTTATAATCATTTATTTAATCTTCAGCATATATATATTTTATGAATTGTTTAATAATAAAAACTTTTAAATTTCCTCAAATATTTGGCAATATTTATAGGCGCAATAATTAATTAATTAATCTGCTTTGTAAGTTCTGTTTACAATTCCATACCAATAAGAATTGTGTAATAATAATAACATTGAAAAAGAAAACTGATTTATATTTTAATATTAAATTTGGTGCTTCATTCTGTGAAGTAAGAAATTTTAATGGCACCACTTTGAAAATTATTAGCCTATACAGGGTTGTTGGAATTAACCTAACGGTTCTCAGACACGGATGAAAGTTTACTTAGTTGAATCGAACGAAACTCGATACGTGTGAAGTCCTCATTATATCATACAGATTAAACTTTCTACTAATTTTTCTCCCTCGTACAGTTGCTTCTAAATTATTTGTCCTCGGGATCCGCGTTTGTCCTCGGGACCGTTTATCGCTCCGACTATCCCTCGTGAGTTTCCGGTCAACTGCTCTATTGTCTCCTCGGTAATTGCCGCTTTGACCGCATTATCAAGTGTGTCCGGTTCTGGGGACATTACCCTTCGTTTGATTTTGTCATTCAGCCCGTTCAGGAATTGGACGAGTAATATTTCGTCACGTTCTTTCGCTTGACATCTTTTTATTACTGCGATCTCCCGAGCATCGTCTCCTATTTGCTATATTATTGTTTCCGACACTAAGCTCTATAGTCTGCATTTGTCTGTACATCATCATCGCGTCTTTGCGTGCAGGCGTAAAATTTTTGAAGGCGAGGAGAGTATGGCTCTTTCTTGAATCGCGAGATCCTCTGCCGCTTAAAGTCTTCATAGGTGTCCAGTTCTCGCATGCGCGCGTCTTTCCATGCATAACCCCGTGCTATTCCTGTTAGTTTCAGCTTCGCGACTCCCAACCTTTCATTTTTGCTATTTCTTCTAGGGAATCGAAAATGTCTCTAATTCGGAGTCTCAATGCATTTCCCGAAAATGTGGCAGTTAGGGAAATCATTCCGGATATCCTTTGGAGTGAACCTCCTCCCCGATTCTCTCCTCCTTGAGCCTCCATTCTTTACTATTGTGTTTTTTTCTTTTTCTTTGTTTTTCTTTTAACAACAAAATCTAATTTTCGGGACATCACTGTGACCGGAGGAACAGTATTTCTTCGATACCACGTCAGGATGACACCACTGTATCCTTAGGTGGATACAGAGACCACAAGTTCGCGCGAGCGGCTACGTATCAGTTTTGGACCCGGAATGGAGTGAACGGAGAGAGGAACGGAAGAATTGCACTCAGAGATATTTATAACATAAATAACCGTTTATTTAAAATACATCTATGTTAGTTTATACATCAGAATTAATTTAAGTTTACAAAAGTTAGTATTGTGCTAAATGTAAGCTAAGTGAATCGCGTTAGGCATTGAGTTACACTCGCTTTCATTATTGAGTTTTAATCGCGTTCGCTATCAGTTTACAAGGAGTAGAGATAGAGCGTACAATAATGCGCTGGCAGGATAAATACCTTATATTATACTGTTGATCGAGTAACAGTAATAAAGTCCCAAATCCTTTTACTTTCCAAAATAGTTCTCTTCGAAGTTAAGTAGGTGAATTGTTAATATCTTAGAGTTCAGTAGGGGAGAAGGAAGTCTTGATTGACGAACAAGCACATTCTCTCGAAGACAATCTCGGCGGGAGGTAGACGTGCGGCACACATACAATCATAACTTTCTCGATCTTACTCATCGTGCCTACCTTTTTATATGAAGTGTTCCTTCGGGCCTTTCCCCGATTTCGTCGGAGATGACAATCTCCATGGACCAATGAAGTGACGGATGACACAATCGTGACACAGAGATCTACTCATATCGACAAGGAACCCAACTCCTCGTGAGAATCGAGTTTTGAACTGATTTTGTCGGTTAAGTTTAAGTTAAAGTAGCCCTTTTTCTTTTCTTTTTTTTTTTATAAACTTGTTCCGTCTTTATAGAATTGTACTTAAGTGTTAAAATTGCACGAGGTAAACATTTATAAATAAAACTTTTGAAAAATAACATACCAAACGAATTAAAATTATTAAATAAAAATTATCTTTAATCATTTCAATTCGCTCCTGAATTGTTATTGATGAGACTTTAATATAAAAAAATTGATATTTTAAATTATAATTTATTTATCTGTAAACAAACGAACTTTTAATAAAAACACAAATAATTTTATTTATTCATTTATTTAACTTTTACAATTCTAAATGTATTTATATGACGTAATATTTCCACTCCCATTTAACAAATAACTCAGATATTACAACTTATGCGTTAAAGTATAATTATTATTAATAACTTCTTCAATAATTGCACAATGTAGCATAAATCAACGAACTATTCTTTATAATCTCTTTTTTCATATATCTTTGATCTGCAAATATAAGAATTATAAAAAAAGTGGGTGAACAGATACACGTATGACACAGCTACAACAAAGCAGTATTTTAAAATTTCGAAGGGAGTGTCGCATGGAAGATTATTTAGGTGCAACCAATACAGCCAACACGAAAGCAGAAACCCAAACAACATTTGTGCAACTTGAATGCCCGTAATACACATAGGTATTGTTGAAGAAATCTGAATCCCCGTGCATTTTGTAGTAAAATAGGTATACGTCAATGAATGTACGAAATTACTGGTGTAAAAAGCTATCAATAAATAGCTCGGCTCTTTGTAACAAGCATACCACGTCATAATCAGCATGGTAAGATGATGATGGCAGTGAAGAAATATCAATTTTCTTTTATGAAGTATTAACAAAATTGTATCTCCCAATCCCCAAACCTTCGAAAACACAAACAGTGTTCCCCAAAACAGAATCGGCGGTGTATTTTCAGCAATACTCTTGTTACAAATTATTTCGTGAAATGTAAAGTGATTGTATTGTTCGAACAAAATTGGAATTAATCTTATGGAGCTGCATATATTGTAAAGGGCCAAAATTCCATTCCATATGGTGAATGCACGGTTGAAATTATATGGTGGTCGATCTTTCATGTAATGCTGAAGGATCATGATGGCCAGTACATAGAAGATGGATATGTAAATGGAATAATGCCAGAAAGTGCGAAAGAAATTTCTTAGCACCTCAGGAGTGAAAACTGTTTCGAAAAACAGAGGTTCGACTGGAATCGTTGTGTTGTAATTTTTCATTCTTGAATAACGTCGAAAGGCTAAAAATAAGTCAAACAATTTAATATTAATTATTGTGCATGAAATTATATTAATAAATCAATACGTGAATTATAAAAATTATATAGGATTTATTTGAAAATGTTAAGTAGTACAATATTTAAATGATGTATATATGTAGGTGACCAAAAATAGATTTTGAAAGTGTTAGAATGTCAACGAGGTGACATACAAAAGAAAAGAAAAACAAAAGAAGAAAGATGTCCCAATGAGAATTCACATATCAGGATTTCTGCGTGAACTTGTGCTACGTGAGCTGGAAAAATATATTCTCAAAGATTTCTTTGATGACATTATAATCTACTAGCGATATGTCGATGATGTATTTATAATTCGAAAAAACAACTAACGAATTGAAGTATATTTACATGAAATCGACAATAATAGTCATGGTTTAAAACTAAAACTAGAACAAATAAGCTATACTTATCTCTATTTTTTTGGACATTGATATGAGGATTAAACAAGAAAATATACACATGGGTGAGTGTGAAAAACCCACGCATGCGCCTCTGTACATGCCATCTTGGTCCAGCGACCCATATAAATATAAATTATCAGCATTTAAAGCACTCAGCAAAAGAGCATTTTTACATTGTTCCAACGACCAAGACCGTCTAAAAAAGATTAATCGAATTAAAAAGGTTGCAACAACATTGAGTTACAAAACTGCCACAATTGAAGTGCTGATCAAAGGTTACAGATAAAATAAAAGCAAAAAAAAGTACTAACTCAGAAGGAATGGACAAATTCACATACAATAGGCATTTAAGAGGTGTGGTGTATGAAAGGTGTCGAAAATGTTGCGGCGACAAATCACGGACTGGTGAGATGGCGCCACTCCTCTACGAGTTTCCCGGGAATCCCGGATAGAAAAACGGGAACTGGGTTTTTCCCAGAGAGAGAATTCTGGGTATTGTTGCTTCTTCTTCTTGTCGGGTGATCGCTGCCATGAGCATGTGTAGCTCTCTTTCAAGTGTACTCGAGGATTGTTGTAAATAAAAGTTGTTTTAGTTTAAAACGTGGTCGTGGACTTAACTAATTCACGTTTACAGCCTTCTGATAAAGACAGTCTTTGTGGAGATGTAAATGGATGGAAAAAGACGGCCAGATTTCGTCTAACCGATGGCGGCCATCCATTACCTCCAGTGGTGACCCGAACGTGATTCGACGTGAATTCGAACACCAAAGAAAGAACAAGACCTTTACTAGTACTGCATTGTGTTCCCTCAGTGGATAATACGGAATAAATTCCGCGACTACGATAGACGACGCTCTTTGGATAGGTGAACCGCTCGCCACTCCTAACCGGCGAAATTGTCCCCACATTTGTGTGTCTGCAACCTCTTGCCAGAATAAGTCATCTAACACGGGTAAGTGGAGTTTCTGTTCCATATTTTTTTGCTGTTCTGCTGAGTAGGTATCCCCTGGTTGCCTTAAAATGCCAAACGAAATCGATCTTAAGCCAGAAATCAGTCGGGTAGCTCTTAAACTTCCCCAATTTTGGGATAAAGAAGCCGATTTATGGTTTATTAATATTGAGGCCCAGTTTAAACTCGCCGATATATCGCAAGATACTACTAAGTATTACGCAGTGGTTTCAGCTCTCAACTCGGAAGTGTTAGCGTACGTGAGCGATATCGTTAAAAACCCTCCTAGGGAAAATTTATATCAAACACTAAAAGATCGACTCATAGCAGAATTTTCCGATTCCGAACAAAAACGAGTGAAAGATTTGCTGTCTAATGCCGTGTTAGGAGATGATAAACCATCTCATCTTTTACGCAAAATGCGACAACTAGCTAGTAATAAAGTCGGGGAGGAATTTTTAAGAACGCTATGGATTCAGCGTTTACCCAAAGAAACTCAGGCAATTCTTTCTGTTTCCGATGGGGATTTAGACAAATTAGCCCAAATGGCCGATAAAATTCTCGAGTTCACACCTTTGCAAATAGCCGAAACTAATTTAGCAAATAACGAAAATAATACACACGCGGCCATAATGAAGCTCCAAACGCAGGTCGCTGAATTAACAGAGCAAGTTAATCGCCTGGCAAGGCCCAGCGACAGACAATCACGCGATTATAGACACCCGCGGAATCGATCTCGGAATCGTCGGCGTTCGCAGAAACCTGTTCGATTCCAGGCAAAAGACCTATGCTGGTATCACGCGAAGTTTGGTGCTCAAGCAAATAAATGTAAGGCCCCTTGTAAATTCCGAGTTCAGGGAAACTAGCTCGGAAATCACACGTGGCGCAATGTGATTTCCAAATTAACAACACAAGCCGCCTATTCGTTTACGATCCAACCTCACGTTGTCACTACCTAATCGACAGTGGTAGCGACATTTGCGTTCTACCATATAACGCCGCCATGGCATTAAGAGCACCCGCCTCATTGACGCTTTATTCGGCAAACAATTCTCCGATAAAGACTTACGGCACAAAAACCATAACCCTGTCCCTAAACTTAAGGCGCCAATTTACGTGGCCTTTTGTAATTGCAAACGTCAGCAAACCAATAATAGGCGCCGATTTCATAAGACACTTCGGTCTCCTGATCGACTTAAAAAACGCCCGCATTACAGACCCATTAACGTCCTTGACAACGACGGGGTCTGCTCCCAACGGCGTGCAAACTAACATTACTTTAATTGTTTCTAATTCGGAATTCAGTGACATTTTAAACAAATATAAAGATATCCTTCGGCCATATCCATCTAGCACCAAACCCAAACATAACACGGTCCACCGTATTATTACCAAAGGACATAATGTTTTTTCTCGCCCCCGCCGTCTCAATCCCAAACAGCTGGAAATCGCAAAAAAGGAATTCCAGTTAATGTTAGAACTAGGCATTTGTCGGCCGAGTAATTCCAATTGGTCCAACCCACTGCACTTAGTACCCAAACCGAACGGGGACTGTCGTCCCACCGGGGATTACCGGGCCCTTAATAGAATAACGGTGCCGGACAGGTACCCACTGCCTCATCTACAAGATTTTGCTCAGAATTTATATGGGAAGACTATATTTTCCAAAATAGACCTAACGCGAGCATATCATCAGATCCCGGTCCACCCCGAAGACGTACCCAAGACTGCAATTACAACACCCTTCGGCCTTTATGAATTTTTATACATGCCGTTTGGATTGTCCAATGCGGCACAAACTTTCCAGAGGTTTATGCACGAAGTCTTACATGGATTAGATTTTGTTTTTGTCTACATAGACGATATCCTGTTGGCAAGTAAGACAAAGGAGGAACATTACGTGCATCTGGAAAAAGTACTCGGACGTTTATCAGAATATGGTATCCGAATAAACCCAGATAAATGCATACTCGGTACAAATGAATTACCTTTCCTAGGTTATTTAGTCAACGCCAGCGGAATCAAACCTCTCCCCCAGAAAGTAGAAGCCGTCATAAAGATCGAGCGACCCAAAACAGTAAAGCAGCTCCGTAGGTTTTTAGGCATGTTGAACTACTACCGCCGTAATATTCCACACGCTGCGCATGCTCAAGCTCTGCTTTGTGAATATTTGAAAGGTGCAAAACAATCCGACAATGCGGAAATTTCATGGACAGACGAAGCAAAAAAGGCATTCGAGGAATCCAAAACTCGATTAGCAAACGCAGCTCTACTAGCTCATCCAGCTCCGGACGCACACTTAGCGTTGCAGGTTGACGCATCAGAGTTCGCCCTAGGCGCCGCGCTGCATCAGGTCACTAAAGCCGGCACAGAGCCGGTAGGTTTTTTTTCGCGCAAACTTACAGATACGGAGAAGAAATATTCGGCATACGATCGCGAACTGTTAGCCGCTTACTCGGCAATTAAGCATTTTCGTTTTATGGTGGAAGCTAGACCTTTTACGTTATATACAGATCACAAGCCATTGACCTTCGCTTTTCTCCAGAAAAGTGAAAAATGCTCCCCCAGACAATTACGTCAATTAGACTATATAGGCCAGTTCACCACTGACATTCGATACATAAAAGGAACTGATAATATTCCGGCCGATACACTTTCCAGAGTCGAATCTATCGTTTGCCCTTCTCCCATAAATTACAAATTAATTGCTGATGCACAAAAGACCGACCCAAACCTCCAATCACTTTTGGGAAATAGTTCGACCAGTCTACAGCTTAAAAAACTAATATTACCAGAAAATCAAGTAGAACTGTACTGTGATGTGTCCACCGGTAAGATTCGCCCTTTTATTCCCGAGACGCAGAGGCAATCAGTTTTCCATGCCATGCATGACCTTTCGCACCCAGGCAGTAAAGCCACGGTGAAGCTAATAACCGATCGGTTTGTATGGCCGGGCATGGAGGCTGACTGTCGCAAGTGGACAACTACGTGCATTCCTTGCCAACGCGTCAAAATTACTAGACATACTAAAAGTCCGATTACAAGCATCCCCGTGGAAAACAAACGTTTCTATCACATCCACATCGACCTTATTGGTCCGCTCCCTCCTTCCGGAAATCATTGCTATTGTCTCACTATGATCGACAGGTATACTCGTTGGGTTGAAGCAGAACCACTGCAGGATATAGAGGCCGACACTGTGGCTAAAGCCTTATACCGAACGTGGATAGCTCGGTTCGGCGTTCCAGGGGTCATTACTACCGACCAGGGACGCCAGTTTGAATCACGTTTGTTTCGGTCTTTGGCTATTCTAATGGGTTCCAAGCACATACATACATGCTCCTTTCACCCCCAGGCTAATGGTATGATCGAAGGTTGGCATCGGACATTAAAATGTGCCCTGAAAACCTACTTAACAGAACGGTGGACGGAGATACTCCCTACCGTACTACTTGGGTTAAGGACAACGTTCAAGCCTGACCTACAAGCAACGTCCAGTGAGTTAGTCTACGGACAGACAATACGTTTACCAGGTGAATTCTTCGATCCTACCCCAGCGGACATAAACACTGCAGATTTCATAAAGACACTAAAGTCTTTCTTCAAAAACTTAACACCAACGCCGGCAGCATCGCATGGGGAGCCCAAACTTTTTGTTCCCATGCATTTAAGAGACTGTAGCCACGTTTTTCTACGTTACGATGCTGTACGCGCCCCACTACGCCCTCCCTACGACGGACCATTCCCCGTAGTGGAAAAGGGAGACAAATTCTTCAAAATTAAAAAAAATAACAAAGAAGTGGTCGTCTCCATCGACAGACTGAAACCTGCCTTTATGCTCAAGGAGAAAGACTCAATCAGCCCTGCACAGCCGGTGATAGACCAACCCAGCAACAAGATGGCTGGGCATACTCACCAACCAGAACCCGCATATGAGACGAAGATCTCACGACATGGCCGCAAAATCAAACCCCCAGTGAGATTCATCGATCGCGGTCGCTAGGAGGGGGGTACTGCGGCGACAAATCACGGACTGGTGAGATGGCGCCACTCCTCTACGAGTTTCCCGGGAATCCCGGATAGAAAAACGGGAACTGGGTTTTTCCCAGAGAGAGAATTCTGGGTATTGTTGCTTCTTCTTCTTGTCGGGTGATCGCTGCCATGAGCACGTGTAGCTCTCTTTCAAGTGTACTCGAGGATTGTTGTAAATAAATGTTGTTTTAGTTTAAAACGTGGTCGTGGACTTAACTAATTCACGTTTACAGCCTTCTGATAAAGACAGTCTTTGTGGAGATGTAAATGGATGGAAAAAGACGGCCAGATTTCGTCTAACCGATGGCGGCCATCCATTACCTCCAATGTTATATAAAAGACCACCCAATATCTATAGCTTACTACGAAACGATAAAGACAGCGTAATAATAAAGAAAGCTTGAAAATATAAAATACAATTTGATAATAAACAGTTAGTAATCGAAAAAGAATGTGTGGGTGTGACCAGAAGAAACCTGGAAGTACGTCTGCGAGAACATAGATAGGACATTGACAAAGGACAGAATATTAACAATCATGACGCACACCGATGAAGCGGTTGTAAAATGGGAAACGACAAAAGTTATTAAAACGGTGCACTCTCTGTCCGTTACGTTGGAGATGGAAAAGGTGAAAATTTACAGCAGTAAATCAAAAACGGTTGCCTAAATGCCAGGAATGCTTATACGCTTCCAACAGCATAAAAATATATAATAGAAAAATGAACGGGACTTAAAAACCCTTACATCATATTTCTTTCTAGTTAAATTTGTTTACTATGTTTCATTTGTTTATATGTTTTACTTATTTATTATACTCACTAGCTGCAAGGACCCGCATCGCTGGGCAAAAAGTAACGATAGTGAAGATTAAGATAATTACATTATAGCCAATCAAATGGAAACTTGGGGTTACCACCACATACAAACAGCATTCATGTGCGATGTGTAGTTTTGGCTAAAATGTGAAATATAGATACACACACGTCCACTTTTATATATATACTAGCTGCAAGGACCCGCTTCGCTGGGTTTTTATTTGTGGGCAAAAAGTAACGATAGTGAAGATTAAGATAATTACATTATAGCCAATTTTACCCGTTTTCACAGAATGCAAGAATTAGGTCTTCCGTTATCAGACTAATTAGAGACCTGGTCCCGATTCTATTTCTGAACGTCTCCTGTTCACGTCAAGTCAAACGAACTCTTTTCAACGTTTCTGGAACGTTTATGATCGTTCTATAATCGAACCAATATTCGAATTTTATGTTCGAATNAAAAAACAAATGGTCCGCAACGGGTAGCTAGCACTAACTGGAAGGAGATTCACAGGTTCAACATTTTTGTGGCGATGCGTGGAACCGGCTGGGTTTTCCAATAGCTATCCATTGTCCTACCTCACATCCACATGGTGCGGACTGGCAGCTTTCATCTATGGTACCAAATCTTGAAATTGATGCCACAAATGGAAAGACTAACAGGAAGGACTACCTACACTCACTCACCAACCCGCCTGGCTAGCGTGGTGAGTTACGGCCAATAACCTCCAAGATGAAAACACAACCGAAACCACGGCCTTCATTCCCCGGAGGCCGGATTACACCAGGACAAGGCAGCGATCAGTGCTGTATGAAAGCAGAGGGTGCTAAGAATTACCGGGTTGGACCTGGCTGCCATTTGATGATAAACCTGGCTTGCTATAATGGCAGATCGCTCTCTTCCGAACCTAGGCTACAAAAACTGGAAGAACTTCTCAAAATCAAGTGGGATGTGATAGGACTGAGTAAAGTAAGAAGAAAAGGTGAAGATCAGATTCAACTGCAAAGTGGACATATCTTCTACTACAGAGGCACAGAAAATGGAAGGAATAGTGGAGTTAGCTTTATAGTAAACAAAAAGTTGAAAGATAACAACTTAACAAGTTAGAAGTAGATAGTTCTTCGGATAGAGTAACAAGATTAGTTCTTCGACATTCAAAAAGATATAAACTACAGA